CCGCCTCCAGGGTCGCTGGTCGGTGGCACCGGACCCACGCTGCTCTCCGGACCGGGAGCCCCTCCCCGTACTGCTCCAGCATCACGGCATCACGCCGTGGACCCCTCCTGCGCTGTCCGGCTGCAACCACCTTACGGCGGCGTCCTTCAGCCGCTGGCCGTACGCGAATTGTCGGGCCCAGCCTGGCCTCGCGGAATCCCCGGCGGTGGTCCTCCGGCAACAGCCCCAGTCTATCCACCATGGCCCTTTTAATGTCGTCGTAGAACCACCGGAGGCAGCCCAATGGCTGCGGTCTGCGCCTCCCCGGCCAGTAGAGGCAAATACCGGACGGGCCACTCTCCCGCAGCCGCAGGCACCTGCGTCGGCGGCACAGCCGCGGGCCGTGCGGCCAGCTGCTCCAGCGCCTGGGCTTGTCTCCCCACCTGGGCCTGGAGCGCCCTCAGGAACTGCCGGTTGGCGTCTGCCTGCTCCCTCAGGATGGCCGCCAGGTCGCCGATCATTCGACCGAGCGCCACAATCGGCTGGGCTGTCATCCCCTTCTGGTGGTTGTCGTCCGCCGTTTCTATCCCCGAGTCACGTTGGGCGCCACTGTAACGTGCGGTCCTTGGGGGAACGTGGAAAGACGACATTTCCATTTACAGAATGTGCAGCTTAATGCAAAGAGAAGAGAGACTCCAAATGCAGAAAGACACTTCTGCCCTTTGGGTTTGAGCACCTGCCCCCCAAAATGTCTGTGAAGCTTGTTTTAATTTTCCCATCAATAACCATGTTTTTATCACTAAGATGCTTCTATTTAAAGGAGCGCTTCATATGGTCACCTGGAGCCTTTGTTTATCTCCAACTGAATGACTTCGTAAAGGGAGAAGTCTGCATTAAGCAACCTCACCACTAGATGTCACTAAAAACTACACACTGTCCTCAACAGGCACTTTCATATTGTAATGGAAATGTGTGAACAATAAATGAATAAAGCAACATTTGTGTGTTTTGAATGTTTGTTTGTTCTGTTTCTGTCCAGCAGTGAAGGTGAGGAAGACGTATGAAGATGATCTTCACATATTAACAACACTTTTATGATGTTTCCTTTTAGCAGAAGTAAGACGTTAACATTAAAGCAGCTTCTTGTTCTGCAGCTCATGCACACTAATGACGTAAAGAGGAAGGAAGCTCTGCTGGGGGTTGAACAGCAGCTTGTTACCAACTCCAGAAGAGACGAGCTGACCTCAGAGACATCAGCCTCCTCTTTAATGTAGACGTGTTTCTGGTGACTTGCTGAATAAAGAGTTTCTGATCTGCTGATTGAACACAGAGGAGCAGCTATGAGTCCATCAGCCGGTGGATTAGTCGTCTTCCTTCTCTCTGTACAAGGTACTGTACTTCTACATTTATATTGTGAGGCCGTTACACACCTCACACACACACAGGGAGCTGTGTTTTTACTTCACAGACAGGTCTGATGTCATCACACACAAATAATGACTAAATGAACATTAACAAAGAAGAAATGCTCTGAATAATTTGTCTCTGTTGAACTTCCTCTAATCGTTCAGCAGCGTTTCTTTGCATTAGACCACATTTAGAGGCTGTTATTCACTCCGAGTCTCTGACGACGTTTGTTCTTCTTTTTGGAGCATTTTATTGTGTATTTGTGGTCATTTTTATTCTCTTCCTGGTTGTTCAGTGTCTCTTTGAGGGACATTTTGTAGCTTTGATCCGTGTCACAGATAATTGATTGACTGCCGGATGCTGAGCGCCGTGTCCTCAGTGAGGTGTGATCTATATGTCACAGTATCGTTCCCCTCAGAGTTCTGCATTTCTCTACAGTTTCCATCTCCACTCTGCAGCAGACTGACCACAGACAGAAGAGCACAGAGCAAAGACACTCTTCTTCTCATCAACCAAACCCTTCTAATACTTCAACTTGAGCTTTTTCAGGTCCACAGGTTCAATACGTCGCTGTTCCTTCCAGCTGCAGAGTCCATGTGGACATCGTGGACTCTTTCATTACTTTCTATAAACTCAATGATTTTCATATTTCTCATAATATCTTTTCTCTTCAGTAAACTACCAATGAGAGTGTGTCCTGTGATGTTGTTCTGAGTGTGACTGTGGTTCCTGATGTGCTGTGTTACAGTGATACAGAGTCAGGATGGATGGAGAGTGAAATACTGTCAGACTGACGTCTGTGCTGCAAAAGGATCAACAGTGGAAATAAGCTGTGACATCACATACCCACCTGGAAAATATCCCTCTGATATAAAGGACAGATTCTGGTTCACTAAAGAGAAAGATGGTGAACCTGTGGATCTGAGAACAGACTCTGAGTATTCAGGCCGTGTGACGTATGGATATTATAAGAGCACTCTGACCATCACAGACGTGAGAGAGAGCGACTCAGCTGAGTACAAATTCAGATTCATGACAAACGAACCAGGAGAGAAATATACTGGTTCACCTGGAGTCACTTTGTCTGTCACAGGTAACATTTTAATTCATTTAATTCATATTAATCATCTACAAATGTTCAACATCTAGAAAACAAGAGTATAAATGTCTTCTGTGAATGTTGACACTTTAATAAATAATATTCACTGATTTAGGTCTCCAGGTCCAGGTGAGAAGATCAGATTCTACCTGGTTGGAGCTGACGTGTCACAGCAGCTGTGTTCTGTCTGATCATCCTGAATACGTCTGGTACAAGAATGAAGAGATCATCAAAAGAGGATCTTCTCTTCCAGTCTCCTCTGGTTCTACAGACAGATATTCCTGTTATTTAAGAGGATATTGGAAAAACCGTTCTCCTGCAGTGTGTAAGTTCACTCCACTGTGTCGGCCTGTGGAGCTTCACCAACATCTCACATGGAGGCACCAGACCGCTGCATGTAAACTAGAGGCATCAAAAAGATGAAGCACAACGTTCCTCAGGAGGTGGAGCCGTGGTCCACTGACCAGAGGGTTGCTGGTTCAATCCCCGGCCCCTGCAGTCTACGTGTAGAAGAGTCACTCACACACTGACACAACAATATGATTCTAATCACAGCTGTAAACACACTGGAGTCTAAATGTTAAAGGAGACACAGATCTTTATTTATGTCATTCTCTTATTAATAGAAACACAAATATAAACCATCAGCAGACAGAATAATGTGATTTTCATAAAGACTCAAGTGAATTATTCCAGAACATAAGTAGAAGTGACGTGTTAGCTGGTGGAGGAAACAATCAATAACTCCTACAACAACTAGAAGTGAGAGGACAGACTCAGCTAAGGACACAAGCAGCATCTAAAGAGAAGAATGTGTGGAGATATGAACATTACAAAGGATTAAAGGCTGCTTATTGTCACTTTACACCAGCAGGAGTCTCACCTGTGACAGCTGCTGTGATGAATAATAGAGATAGTCTGAGAGAAAGACACACAAGTATTCATTCAAATGATCAACTATCTACGCTAACATCTTCTAACCTCTTAGTATGTTTATTCACGTCTCCTCCAGATGGTCCACAGCGTCCCTCTGTGTCAGCGAGTCCCTCTGCTGAGATGCTGGAGGGCGGTTCAGTGACTCTGACCTGTAGCGCTGATGCTAACCCAGCAGCTAACTACACCTGGTACAAGGAGGATGGAACGTCGGACCCTCGTCTTCTCAGTGAAGAACCTCAGCTGGTCTTCAGCTCCATCCAATCCTCTGACTCTGGAAATTATTCCTGTACAGCTGAGAACCAGCTGGGGAGGAAGACGTCTGACTTCATCTCTATCGACGTGAAATGTGAGTGAAACAACCTTTTTAAAAGCAACATAATCACTACTGAGGTAGTGTTTTGTTATGAACTTCTATTTATTGAACTCTAACTTGTAATAATATGTTGACACGTCTCCTCCAGATGGTCCACAGCGTCCCTCTGTGTCAGTGAGTCCCTCTGCTGAGATGCTGGAGGGCGGTTCAGTGACTCTGACCTGTAGCACTGATGCTAACCCAGCAGCTAACTACACCTGGTACAAGGAGCATGAAGACTCACCACGAGCATCAGGACAGATCTTCACCATCACTGACTTCACAGCTGAACACAGTGGGAATTATTACTGTGAAGCCCAGAACGAGATGGGACGTAGTAACTCCACCTTACGTCTGATTCCTTTTTCAGGTAAATTTGAGTCTGGTGAGTTTCTCCATGACATGAATCGTCTGATCAACAAACAGCATCTCCTGCACGTTTATCCATGAATCAAGTCCTTCTGAGGAGGTAACGTGCTGTTTGTCTAATAACTTTGTGTCTCCAGCTGTTGATAGAACAACAATGATAATTCACATCACCAGGTGGACTCTGGTCTCTGTGATGCTGATTCTTCTGCTTGTCTTTTGTCTGTGGACGAGGTAAAAGCAACTAGAACTCATCCTCACTGAGCTTTTACTTTGAAAAGGTCCATCAATCTATTTGTGTATGTTTGTTTTATGACTGAATGCAGGAAGAAGAAAGCTGTGAGCTCCACCACTGAACCACATGAGTCCAGAGAGGCTGTGGAGGTGAGACATTTGTCCTCAGAGACAGAACTCACCAAAGGGTCATCGTCTGTTGTTATTAAGTCATGAAGATAATTCAGAAGTAACTTTATCACTAACATCTTTCTCCTTTTGAACCACCAATATTTATTTACCACGTTTACTGCAAATGTCCTTTGAATCCAAAGAGCGATTTAAAGAACAAAGAGTCGTATTGACCATCAGCTAAGCCCCTCCCCTTGGTTACTGTTGCTAGGTCTGTCCAGCTTCAGCATCACAGCGCGTAAATGTTTAAAAATGTTAAGATGTTTAATCCATATGTGACATCAACCCTCTAAAGGCCTCTGGTCCCTAGTTACGGTTGCTAACGTAGGAATGTACGGTGTGCGTTGGGGGAGGGGCTTAGCTGAGGGTCGGTTGTATCTGAACTGCTTCTCTGAGGCCTTTGACTCTCATCGTCTCTCCATCAGATGGACCTTCATCCTGAGTATGAGGACCTCTCAGACATGGCAGCACAGAGAGAAGACCCAGAGGAGCAGGAGGACCAGGTGTGAAGGTCAGCCAGGTGTCAGTCTGCTGCAACTCAAAACAACGTCCTGCTTCCATTTCTGAGGAATAACTTCATGTGATCTTCTTCAGATGCAGTGAAACCAGAGGGAGACTCACCTGGACGGAGACAGGAACCAGTGGACACATTTCCCTTCAGTACCATAAGTTATTGTCTGAGGTCTTTACAAAGTTAAAACTATAGTTTTTATTTCATTCTCTTTGCTCTTGAATCACTGTTTTTATTTTAAATGTTCTTCGGTAGAGAACTTTGAATTTCATTCTTGCTTCAATGTGTTTTATAGATAAACTTGCATTAAAATATCAAAATTAGTGGCTTGTAGCAGAATATTCATGATGCTTTAATTATATCTGTGCTGCTACATTACTTGTGTGCATGCAGGGTCGTTGTGGCGCAGGGGTTAGAGAAGGTGTGCTGGAAAGTGCAAGGTTGTTGGTTCGATTCCAGGCTGCCCCATGTTCCATGTCGAAGTGTCCCTGAGCAAGACACCTAACCCCCATTTGCTCCCCGGGCAAAATGTGAAAACGCCATGGGTTTAAAGTGTAATGTAAGTCGCTTTGGATAAAAGCGTCTGCTAAATGACATGTAATGTAATGTAATGTTGTAATTGAATAAATAAATTGCTTTTAAGAAATACTGATCACCATCTTATCCAGTTTTTCTTCACCGGATTTAAGGACAAATGGCAGAAAAAAAGTATTCTAGAAGTTAAATGGTCTCCATCTCAAAGAAAACTTGCAACAATGTCCAAAAAGAGTGACATTCCATTGTGACCTTTATTGTGGCGGGTGAATCCAGTACTTCCCGATCAGTCGACGAGTGAAACAGAAAATCAAACTTCAACTCATTTTACTGTTAATGGTCACTTCCGTTCTGTATCACGCAAAGTTCTGATTAATACAACGATGAAAATGTCTTCAGACAGTTTCTGTAAAAAATGATGCCGTGGTGATTTCTTTGCGTTTTCATTTTGGGGCATTTTTTGGAGACTTAAACGAAGGATGTATTAGCCTCTACTTTTTAATTTAAATACAATATCTTACTCACAAGTCCCACAACGAAGTGAGTATTTAAAAGCTACATCTGTAATGATTTGGTGGAATCTTTTAGTGAGATTGCAGCAGAGAGAACTGGGCTCAGAGTTTGAGGCTCAACGGCACATAAAGTAGTTTAATATGTAGAAAATACTATTGTACATTGTACCAGTTTCTACCAGTCAGTCAAAATGTTAATATCATTTATAACAGCAGCATGTAAAGTTCATTTATCATCAGACCTGAAGCGTTGATAATTAATATCAAGTGTCTGAAAAGCGCCTTAGAAGCACTCGCGGTGCACGATGCTGTGAGCGCCCTCGTCCTCCTGCTTGCTGATCCACATCTGCTGGAAGGTGGAGAAGGAGCCGCCGATCCAGACGGAGTATTTACGCTCAGGAGGGACGACGATCTGCAGCAGAGGAGGAGGAGCTAATAATAATAATAATAATAATAATAATAATAATACCACATCACAACAGACACAAGGACGATAAGAACAACCAGTTATCACTGATAATATATTCAGCTTGTGAAACAACTTATTTTATGATGTGAAAAACTAAGCAGTGAATATTTATCATTTACTATAAATGACAAATGCAGACGTCCATTTAAGAGCTGCTCTGCAGTTTGATTTGAAGATGAGACGGGAGGTCAGTCGTCCATCTTTAAGCAGGAGGAAGTGTAAATATAAATACACAATATCACATTGGGGGAAGGACACAGGAGACATGTCCCCTGCACCTTTTAAAAAACCCGTTTTGGTCCCCTGCTGTTTTTACCGTCCAAAAACAATGTTACGCTACGGTAAACAGAGACTGGTCAAGCACTAGGACCCAGCGGAAAAAGGGCCGCTCAAGCTGAAGCCTGTTTCCCTCAGTTTAGACCAGTGTTCATTTTGGCAGCTATTTCTGATTTAGTCTTAGGACGAAAAATGCATATTAGTTTTAGTCACATTTAGTCATTTTAATCCTTAGTTTTAGTCGAAAACTAGACTATAATGTAATTAGTTTTAGTCACATTTAACAGCCATATTAAACTCCTTTTCTTCCCTTCTCAGGCCCAGGGACGCCCTGTATTATGTCCCTCCTAGGACAGGCCTATAGATGTCCCTCCTAGGACAGGTCTATAGATGTCCCTCCTAGGACAGGTCTATAGCAGGTCCCTCCTAGGACAGGTCTATAGCAGGTCGGCAAACGTTTTGACTCGCTGCCACAGTGGGTTGTAAAATGTGACGAAGAACAAATGGTGGAAGTGTTTGTGTGAGCTGATATAAACGAGATGTGAAACATCATTACATGAAAGGATTTGGATTTTAGCAAATAGCAAAGCATTTATTTGCAAGGCAATTTAACAAATTGGCAAAGGTGTAACAACTTGATGAGGACCAGGGACCTAAACGCAACACTTTGTGGTCTTTGTCTGTTTACTTGCGATGCTTTTGACACTTCATGGTCCTTTATTGTTTCCACTGTCCCAACAAGAGAGACCATAACGTCCTAAAATCTGCAATACATTATTTTCTTGGCTTCAGAACCTGCAATGAGTTTATTACATTAAACGCGTGTTTGTGACGGAGCGTCTCATCCAGCGAGGAAACGCTGCCTGCCGTCGCCAGAGAACAGAGCAGAAAGGTCCGACGGTCTTTAAACGCGTCTTCATGTTTCTGTGAAGCAGCGCGGCTTCAGGCTCCTAACAGGCAGCTAACAGGCAGCTAACAGGCAGCTAACACGAGACAGCTAACCCGAGACAGCTAACCCGAGACAGCTGAGCTAAACTAACGAAGCCACATTCAAACTCGCCGAAGCGTAAAATAGTCGTCGCGGTCCGTAGTCGGTGCACAAGAACCACCGCTGCACCGCTGGGGGCGTTCTGGGTTCGTGGATGACGTCATGACGCGTTAATATCCGCCTGTTACGCCCCCTGGTGGCTCGACCCGGAGCGCAACATAAGGGCGACAGGTCAAGGCAAGTGAGGCGTTAGCCACACAGAATCCAATACACGAAACGTAACAAAGTATTTGTTTTTCAAAAGAGCAACACAGGGATCAACAAGGACTGTCAGTGGCACCAAGAAGAGAACATAACCCCCCCCCCTCATTGACCGGTGCTTAGCACCCAAAAATACAGTAGGTGGTGCTCACTCTAGCCTAGGGTACTAACAACAGGTACACCTACGTGAAGCAATATGTAAACCCCGGAGTATCTTACCTGTCCTCACTGACCCTGTGCGCACAACCAAAAGATATCACAAAAACACCAGTAGGCTGTTACTAATTCAATTTTAACACAAGACAGTGGTCTTCAAGCCGCGGGCCCAGCTCAACACAGAAGAGCCTCCCCACTGAGAACAAACATTGACTCTGTGAAGGGGAACGGTTGATGGGAGATCTGGAACAGGTGTGGTGATTGGATGAGGGGAACCAGGTGTGCACATCTGTGAAGTGAGAGAATGGAAACAGAAGGGGGAGACAAAACCAAACCAACAACACAAAACAGAACACCACATCTGTAGACCTACTACCCGTAGAGCGCTGTACGTAACACCGCCGTACTTTGCCTGTCTGTTGTCTGTCAGCTGCGTGCGAATTCAGGGGGAAAAAGTATCGTGACTTCCTCAACCACCAACATGTTCGTCTCGTCTCGTTAACGAAAGTTAAGATTTAGTCAGTTTTTATTTTTTAAGATCGTCTTAGTCTCGTCTTAGTCATGGAAAAAAGGTTCGTTAACAAAAAATGTTCGTCAAATTTCGTCACTGGTTTAGACCCGCCCACCAGCTCCTCCATTGGCTCTGCTGTTGCTCGTGTGATTGGCCGTCCCCGCTGTCATCAGGTTGTAAACCGGTCTGCTAGTTGCCTCGAGGAGTCCCTGTTACTCCGCCACTGTAAGTGTGAAATAGGTGCTGCTGAGTTGGAGTGAAGATGACTAACAAGGTGAAACACAGAATGATAATGTTTTGCTACATGCTTTACAACCAGTCAAACCAAAAAGGGAACAGTAGCAGTAGAACACTAGAAGAACTGCTAGTTTGATTAAAAATACTTGTGACCCCCCCCCACTAACCCTAACCCTAACCCTGAAATCAAAATGAGTCCCTGGATACACACACGATCAGGGTGGATTTAATTTAGCAATAGAATAGAAGAGCACACTGAGAACTTAAGGGGAGAATATTCAGTCAACTTTTGTCTTTAGGTTCAAGCCAACGATAAACCTGAATGAGCAATAATCCAACATCCTGACAGGAAAATAAATGAACAGTAACAATCAGATTCACATGTGGACATCTCTTCATTTAGTGAGTAACACTCACTGAGTGACTTCAGCTTTGAGTCACATTCTAATACGTCCTTCTGCGTGAGAACAGTAACTTGTTCTTAAATATCTTATGCAGATAAATATTTAAGGGCTTAATCTGTGTCCATTGAACGAGTACTGCGTCATTATATCAGTGAGCAACACGCCCGCAGATACAGTAAAATACATATATATATATATATATATATATATATATATATATATATATATATTGTGGCAACCAACGGGTGTGGGTGAAATCACAGGACTCGGATACACGACCAGCTGCACACAAAAAAAGGGTACGGTTTATTTTGACATACAAAAAAAGGGAAAAGGGCAAAATAGGTTCTTCCTCTTTTGAGGGCTCGGTTCAACAGGCTGTTCGGCCTTCAGTCCCCTTCCTGCGGGAAGCACAGAAAACAGGATTTACACTCATTCCAAAACCCCCCCAGCGTGAGGCCATCTCCTATACGTCTAGTTCCCCAGGCTGCATGAATGGGTGGTCCTTTATAGTGTGGGGGGGCGGGGGGGCGTTTCCCCTTCTCACCTGACCTCTGGCTCGTCGGTGCCCCAGACCTTGGTGCTGATCTCTTGAGGCGCTGTCCAGGGTGCTGCTTCGTGGGTTGCCACAATATAAAGAAGAATGTCATTCTCTCTGCTAACAAACATTGACGTAATACCTCTTCAGGCCAGAGCTCAGCTTCACCTCGTCCTTCTCATCTTCATGTTAAACTGGTGTGATGGGCTGCAGTCCGTATTCCACTTAAGAATGAAAGCAAAGGTTCAGTTCATTGAAGGAGAAACGTGCTGCTCATCAATCCAGCACATTGTTTGTCCATCCAGACACTAATCTGGAAAAAGCCTTTTGAAGTTACAGCAAAAGAAAACCAGGATGAAATTGAAGGTGATTATGATAAGTTACACGTTTTTGACTACTGTTTTTCTGTTTTGTTTGTTTGTTTGTTTGTTTTTTACGTTCTGTGCTTCAAACTGTGTTCTCCTGATCTGGAAACTTTCTCCATCAACTGCAAACCCTTTTATTCCCCCCGTGAGTTCGCTTCATTCATCCTGGTCGGTGTTTACATGCCGCCGCCGGGCAACGTGCACGAGGCTCAGCGGACACTCGCCGACCAGATACGGCGTGTGGAGCGGACCAACCCCGGACTCTTTAGTTATTGTCCTCGGGGACTTTAACAAAGGAAATCTCACCCATCAACTTCCTAAGTACAGACAGTTTATTAAATGCCCACCAGAGAGGAGAACACGCTGGATCATGTAGGATATTAGAAATAAACTGACGACCCGGGTCATAAAATGAATAAAATGCATATAGTGTACACCAGAATACAGCCATGATTCTGAAACTGTGTCATCAATAAAGTTATGACAATATTGTAAAACCTGTAATTGTAAAACATATAGAACCACCATAAGATAGAACCACCATCACATAGGACCACCATCACATAGAACCACCATAAGATAGAACCACCATCACATAGAACCACCATAAAATAGAACCACCATCACATAGAACCACCATAAGATAGAACCACCATCACATAGGACCACCATAAGATAGAACCACCATCACATAGAACCACCATCACATAGGAGAGGGTAGTGTTGGTTCATGATGATGGACTAAGACCTCCCGCCACACCCACAGTTTCTTCCCGTCGGCAGTCGGGCTCGGCAGGCACGTGCACAGATGCAACATTAGATGACGTCACAACTGGTCCAACGTTTCCTAAAAAATATACAAACAAAAAACTCTGTGATTTCAAAGCCTCGTCCAGCTGATTACTGACGTTTGTATCTCTCTCTTCATTAAACGTGACAGACAGGCAGAGAATTTAAAGGCAGTTTTACAGTTCTACAAATTAAGAGGTAGGTCTTAAGTTGGGCTACAGTCTGGTGTATTATTAGTGTAATGCTGCTTATGCTTACAAAAATATTTGTGTGTGTCGTCAACTTTTGATTATTGTGCACAACATTAATTTATCTCATTCACAGAATGTGCAGCTTAATGCAAAGAGAAGAGAGACTCCAAAAGCAGAAAGAAACTTCTGCCCTTTTGGTTTGAGCACCTGCCCCCCAAACTGTCTGAAGCTTGTTTTAATCTTCCCAACAATCACCATGTTTTCATCACTAAGAAGTTTCTTTAGAGGAGCGCTTCATATGTTCACTGGGAGCCTTTTTCATCTCCACGTTACCTGAAGGACTTCAAGGGAGGAGTCTGCAGTCTGCAACCTCACCACTAGATGTCACTAAACACTACACACTGTCCTCAACAGACACTTTCATATTGTAATGGTAATGTATGAACAATAAATGAATAAAGCAACATTTGTGTGAGTTGACAGCTTGTTTGTGTTGTTTGTGTCCTGCAGTGAATGTGAGGAAGACGTATGAAGAGCTGCAGAGAGGACATATTTATCTACATGTTAACAGGAGGACGTCACACTGCAGCCTTTCACTTAATGTGAATTATTACAGAGAATGAAGAGACGTTTATGCTGCTTACAGGTTCATCAAGATGATCTTCACATATTAACAACACTTTTATGATGTTTCCTTTTAGCAGAAGTAAGACGGTAACATTAAAGCAGCTTCTTGTTCTGCAGCTCATGCATACTAATGACGGAAAGAGGAAGGAAGCTCTGCTGGGTGTTGAACAGCAGCTTGTTACCAACTCCAGAAGAGACGAGCTGACCTCAGAGACATCAGCCTCCTCTTTAATGTAGACGTGTTTCTGGTGACTTACTGAATAAAGAGTTTCTGATCTGCTGATTGAACACAGAGGAGCAGCTATGAGTCCATCAGCCGGTGGATTAGTCGTCTTCCTTCTCTCTGTACAAGGTACTGTACTTCTACATTTATATTGTGAGGCCGTTACACACCTCACACACACACAGGGAGCTGTGTTTTTACTTCACACACAGGTCTGATGTCATCACACACAAATAATAACTAAATGAACATTAACAAAGAAGAAATGCTCTGAATAATTTGTCTCTGTTGAACTTCCTCTAATCGTTCAGCAGCGTTTCTTTGCATTAGACCACATTTAGAGGCTGTTATTCACTCCGAGTCTCTGACGACGGCTGTTCTCCTTTTTGTCGTGTCTTCTCGTGTATTTGTGGTCATTTTTATTCTCTTCCTGGTTGTTTACTGTCACGGTGTGGTTCACTTCATGTTATATTTTGTAGTTTTCTGCCACTCGTGTCCCCGGGTAACTTCACTTCCTGCCTTGTCCCGTCATCCCCTGTGATCGTCTTAATAGTTTCCACCTGTGTCCAATCACCTGCACCTCCCTTGTGTATTTAAACCATGTGTGTCTGTTGTCACTTGTCGCTTCATTGTCTTTTGCCACGCATCTTCTTGTCTTGCGTCTTGGATGTCCGTAGTTTCTTGCCTGTGTGCTTTTGCCCCCGGTTCCTGTGTTTTTTGACTATTAAAGTCTTTTGTTTTGGAGAAGTCTGCATTTGAGTCTTGCCTTCCACCCAGACCCCTGACAGTTCAGTGTCTCTTTGAGGGACATTTTGTAGCTTTGACCTGTGTCACAGATAATTGATTCACTGCCGGATGCTGAGCGCCGTGTCATCAGTGAGATGTGACCTATATGTCACAGTATCGTTCCCCTCAGAGTCCATGTGGACATCGTGGACTCTCATTACTTTCTATAAACTCAATGATTTTCATATTTCTCATATCTTTTCTCTTCAGTAAACTACCAATGAGAGTGTGTCCTGTGATGTTGTTCTGAGTGTGACTGTGGTTCCTGATGTGCTGTGTTACAGTGATACAGAGTCATGATGGATGGGGAGTGAAATACCGTCGGACTGACATCTGTGCTGCAAAAGGATCAACAGTGTTTATAAGCTGTGACTACACATACCCACCTGGAAAATATTACTCTGATATAAAGGACAGATTCTGGTTCACTAAAGAGAAATATGGTGAACCTGTGGATCTGAGAACAGACTCTGAGTATTCAGGCCGTGTGACGTATGGATATTCTAGTGATTGGAAGAGATGTCATCTGACCATCAGAAACGTGAGAGAGAGCGACTCAGCTGAGTACAAATTGAGATTCATGACAAACAAACCAGGAGAGAAATATACTGGTTCACCTGGAGTCACTTTGTCTGTCACAGGTAACATTTTAATTCACATATTAATCATCTACAAATGTTCAACATCTAGAAAACTAGAGTATAAATGTCTTCTGTGACTGTTGACACTTTAATAAATAATATTCACTGATTCAGGTCTCCAGGTGCAGGTGAGAAGATTAAATTCTACCTGGTTGGAGCTGACGTGTCACAGCAGCTGTGTTCCGTATGGTGGACACTACTGGTCCAAGAATGGAGAGAACATCGAGACAGGATCTTCTCTTCCAGTCTCCTCTGGTTCTACAGACAGATATTCCTGTTATTTAAGAGGATATTGGAAAAACCGTTCTCCTGCAGTGTGTAAGTTCACTCCACTGTGTCGGCCTGTGGAGCTTCAACAACATCTCACATGGAGGCACCAGACCACTGCATGTAAACTAGAGGCATCAAAAAGATGAAGCACAACGTTCCTCAGGAGGTGGAGCCGTGGTCCACTGAACAGAGGGTTGCTGGTTCAATCCCCGGCCCCTGCACTCTACGTCTAGA